CAGGAAGTCCATTCTGGGCTAGTACTATTGTCAAATTTTGGAGAGCAGAGAATTATTTATATGGGAGTCGTTCCAGTGGGGAATTGTTAAAACTGTTCGATTGACATATAACAATTCTTTATTGGAACAGAATGTGTTCTATATTCATCAAAAAAGCATCTATATTGCTATGTTTCTATACTTACGACGAACTCGAATAAAAAAAAAACAGTCCGATCCAAACGACGTGCGTCCATGAAAGTCTTATCGCCCACGCGTTTCCGAGCGAGTTATTTTTTAAAGATGCCCGGGGAACCAAAATTTGCGATGTAAATCACTCTGGCGACGGAAAATCAGTGATAATAGCCAAGGGACGAGGGACTGAATTTTAAAAAGATGTTTTAAATATAGGGTATATAATTATCAATCAAGAAACCTACCTAAAAGAACACAGTAAGAACACTAAGTAAATTTAGATTAGCTGCCATAAATTACACATTGAAACTTGGTGACACACTAGACCAGACATTGAAATCAGCGTAAGTGTTTTCTCATTTACATGCTTTGAATTCCTAATGTGATAAAGAGAGATTTATACGTATAATGAGCTGCGATGACAAAAAACGTATTATGCAATTAATTAACTACATTTATGCTGCATATGAAAATCAAGAACAGGTTCTTTCAGAATAGATATATTAATTAATCATGAAATTCATGGTAACACTATTATTTAACCATCCATTTCTTTTAAATATTTTGTGAAATAAGGACCATATATGATGACTTAATATCTTGGTTATACATCTTATCAGACAACAAAATTATACCACCAGATACATGTCTCTATCTGAAACGGTAATTATTCAAATTATTGAAATCACATGACCATACTTGTATATCGTCATCTGATACATTAGCCATATCATGTTGTCAAATGCCTTTATTTTAGCACTGGTTGCATGTTACTATCTGCAGCAGTGCCTAGTACATTATAGTTATGCATATTAAGAAGGACACACGACTATTCATACTAAGTAGGCAATTAATGCATGTTGAATGGTTCTTGAGAAGCACCACATCCATTTTCACAAAGAAGGCAGTTAATATGCACGTAATCAGGTCTGTGGATTACAATTCAATGTTCTATTGAATTCTGATGAGTTACGAGTGGAAAAATATTGGCTACTTTATAATATGCAAATTAGGTTGTTTATAATGAGGTCTGCGCATTACTCCAGACCATCTATGTGCCAAGATGCATTGAAATTTGTTGAATGGTACTTGAAAGACAAGTGAAAATGCTTAAATTTGAGTAATGGAAATGCAAATTAGGTAATTAATATGCACATATTGCAATCAGAAACTAATAAGGGCTGCACATTATCTCAGACCATCTATGTATTAGGTTTCATCGAAATTTGTTAGGTTGTTCTTGAAAAAAACCTAAAAAGGCTTAAATTAATACGCAAATTAGGTAACTTATATGCATCTATGTATCAATTTTAATTGAAATCTTGAGATATTGGTGGAACATGCACATGCACGCACACACATACAAACACATACAGCATAGCATAAACTGGCAACACATCAATGAACACTTTTTGAAACACAAACTGGGCAACACATCAATGAACACTTTTTGAAACACAAACTGGGTAGATGGCAGGAATAACGATGTCTGTTTATTTAGCTTTTTTTCTTTTTTAGACTTTCCAAATACAATCCTAGTGATCTTTGAATGGAATCTTTCTGTACAAACGAAGTGAAGTTATAAATGTCCTCTTTTCTCTTAGAAGACAGATTATTAATAAGTTCATTCCTCATCAGCTGCTTAGTCAGGATCCTTGCATGGTCTGAAAAATAAATATCACAATGATTACATTTCTTTATGCATAATTTATATATTGAATTTTTATCTGACAATAAAAACAACAGAATCAAGCCTCATTTGCATCCATCATTGAGGGCGCTAATTCTTGCTCTCCAGCTTACAAAAACAGAATGCACATATTCAAAAGTTTGACAGGTGCATCAAGAGCTATTATGTGCTCTTACTGTCATCGCCATATTGTTTCGAACACCAAAACAGTAACATTGCCTGCTAAGTTGCTGACTGCTTTGGTGTACACGTCTAAAGATCGTTATCTTACTTGACCTCTTCGGATTAACTCATTTTTACGAGGGGGGCGCTTCTCAACTCAATGTGGGCAGTGTAAGTAAGCTCAAGTTAACACACTGCTATTTCTCTCAGTATGTTTGTTTTGTTTATTATTAAGTAGCTTATGGAATGTTCATTAGTATTGATTAATAAAAATAAATTGAACCAATAACTTGATTGTGCCCCCACAATTAGTCCCTATGACCGACAATAGTTGTGTCGCCAGGAAGCTAACCGGAAATCGAAAGGTTGGACTTGCGTGCTCTGAATCGTATATCGATTGCAACATCTTTCTTACTGTGTTCAGAAGTATTACAGATGTGTTTGAAAAAGTTATGAATGCATCTAAGTCCGTATTTTGCTGTCTGGATACTCACCTGGTATCTTTAGCCATTTTACCATTTCTTTTCTAGCACATCCTAACACGTCATCTGGAGGACAGATTTGATCTACTAATCCGATGTTTTCTGCTTGCTCTGGACTGTAAAGTTTACCAAGCTGTAAGGATTTCTCAGTTTCTCTATGTCCAATCGTGTTTTTCATCGTCTCAATGAACCAAAATGGAGCTATGATTCCCTGAACAAAATCAATAATAACACCAGTTGTCAAATCACAAACTATGGCTTATTTGGAAATAACTATGCACTATGAAGTTACTTGCCCATCAATAAATTTGTTTTGATCAACAGCAGAAGCATGTCTCTAACTCACAGCGGCAATTGCACTTAGGTGATTTGTAGCACAGCACTTAATTTTACCAAGCATACAAAGCAAGTAACTGACAGGTCACACCAACTTATGTATAACAATTAATAAGCTTTCTGTTTTAGACAATTTAATGGGTTATACAAAATTGTAATAAAAAATGAAAATACCACAGAGACAAAAACATGTCGTCAGACTTTTAACAGTCGTGATAACTGTGCACACATGCAACAGTTTCCATCATACTCAACAGCTCAACTGGAGATCAAATTAAATCTGCATGTACATACCAATAAAGTTTCATTGAGACCAATCGTGTATTTACCAGTGGCCATTACCCTGTAGTCACACGCCATCGCCAGTAGACAACCACCTGCTGGACTGTGCCCCTGTAAAAAATTTGAAAAATTGTGTACACAGGTAAAGTGAATCTGTTAAATAATATACTGTTATTAATTTGAGATCACATTTAACCCAAGTATTATTTTGTGGTATTCTCAAACTTAACAGGTGTCAAATTTGAAACTCTGCATATACCAGAATTTTGAAGAAGAGTCACACTTAAATCCACTTCTAAAAACTAAATCTGTATAATATTCAAATATTCATTAAATTCATCAGAAATAAAACATGAATTTATTTATAAAATTTGACAGGGTTGCTTTTAGGAAATGATAGTCAGTTGACAGGGTCAAAGGTCAGACCAAACATAATGTTAAAATTGATACATGTCCCCATAGATATAAAAAATTATTAAATTAGTTGTAGATATTCTATATTTTTAATGACAATGTATTTAATTTACATAATTGAATAAATTTAAATACAAAAGAGACATGCATATAGAGTAGTGTTATTAAAATATATTTATAATTTCCTTTCTTAGAAAAGCTTCTTAAATCAGGTCAAGAAATAAAATATTATGAATGTTTTAACATGATGCAAAAAATGTTATGCATGAAGAGGAAATTTTTTTTATATACATATCACACTTTACCGATATTGCTGCTATGGTAACCAGTTTCGAACCATAAAGTCTAAGAAAAACATCTTGCAAGGTTCTCCAAAAGGCGTCAGTTTCTTCAGGTTTCTTTTGATAGAATTCTGTTATATCTAAACCAGCTGAGAATATATTAGGCACCATCTGTATTGATGGAAGATAAGGCAGAGCATGTTGGAAGAATATATTTATCCCCATCCTAGAATTTTGAAGGATCCTTTCATTGTTGGTGTTTTCCAATATGAGAAATAGACTGTCTATATCAGCATCACGAAATATCTGTTGTCATGACAGTATATTTAAATATGTGACAATCAACCAGACCATTTCGGCAATTAATGAGGCAATGGTCAATGTGTCAGTTTTAATTCCTTGACTCTCAATATTAAAAATGAACCCCCCACCTATGTACGAAAAAGGGGTTCCATTTATACACAGAATATATTTCAAATTTTAGTTCATTTTCTCATTGGGACTCACTACACGAAAATGCTATTGTGTAATTTCTGATACGTATCTAGTGATGGTACAGTATTAGACACAGAACCCCAAAACACCAGCCTATTAGTGGTGTTCACATTAGAGATCTTGGCACATACAGAGACCCAAGGCTGAATTGGCTTGTACCGAAATGTGTGTGTGAACGGTCGGAACTGAGTCGGTACTTGCCGAAATAAACTGGATCTCGGTCCTGATAGATGTTTCAGACCAAATCACATGCCAAGATTTGCTGCCTAAATGTTGGCACGAACTGAAATCATGCCCTCGGTGGCAAATAATGAAATGAATGCAAACCGTTGACAGCGACGCATATTTATGTATTGCTGCAATCGTTTTTTCTTAAAATGCTACATTAACGTAAAAAAATAATTTTTTTAATCTTATTTGCCAATGATGTGCATGATAATAAATACCATAATAGCAAATGAATATAATTTCAATATAGTAATATCATTTTTCCATGTTTGGGTCAAATAACAGATCAAAAAGGGGTTTGATTTCGGCATGAGCCGAGTGGGTTCCAGGTGGGGTCTAGACAAGCATGAACTCAACTGCTGTAATCCCTCTACAAACACAAAGGAATAAAAATTTGGATATGTGAACGCAGAAATTGTGATAAATCATATATCATAAATAACATAATTACAGGATGTAAACTTCACAAAGTCATCAAGGCAGATGCAAAACAGTATAAAGTTCAAGTTCTTTATGATATACCTAATCACACACCGGTAAGTTACGTTCCCAGGTATATACAGATATGGAGAATTTACTTCATAAATCACGAAAGCAATACTCACAGAGGTCAAAATGATACCACGGTAGGTTTTATCATTCTGCAGTTTTTCTAAAGTGATGCTTAGATCATTGAGAAGCTGCTTATTAAGTCCATTTACAGGTCGACGATTCAGCCGTAAAATTGCTACAGCTATTAAAAAAAAAATATTTATCTGTTTAATTACTTAATAATTTATTCAGAAAAACATTGCTCTACTCACAGGCCAAAGTTTTGGTACAAGTAAGTTTTGTGACCAATAGAAAACATTTTTAACACCACAAGCAAAGATAGCCAAATATAATTCTATTTTTCACAATATCCTAGCAAAACTTGGATTACACATTTGCCACATATATAGTCAAATTAGTGAAACTCACTTACCAATCAGTCTTTTATTATCATATTTTATAGAACAAAACATTCATGTCTTCATGAAATTCATCGTACACTGTTTAGATTTACCACAATAAATGCAGAAGGCAATATATATGTACATTTTTTCTCTCTCATCCTAAAAAACTACCATTGTATGTCTACAGATGACCGCTCTATGACATTTACCTTCATTTTCAGGGTCTTTTTCAACTTGTAGAAGCTCAGTCGAGCTGTCTGTATACCCTCTTTTAATTGCTGCACTGAGGGGCAGCACACTTTTATTTAACAAAGCTGCCTTTCCAGAGCAGCGAAATGGCAGTCTTAAACCTGAAAAGGAAAACACAATACAATATATTCAAATAATATATTTCTTTGAAATGGTTACATATAATAAATGTGCTGGTTTAAGGTAGAAAAGACGACACGCTATCCCTAACAACATGTAGCTGTCAATCAAGGTAATAGAATTTATTCAAATTGCAATTTGTATTCATTAATACGAGCAAATAACAATTAAATTAAAAATTAATTTAAAGTGCTAAACTAAAAATTATACAGTAAATTACAAATTGATGAAGCCACCCCCCCCCCCCCCGAGTTGAAACAAAATGAACTAAAGGCACCTTTTATAAGTGTTATCGTCACACATAAAAAAAATGTATTTTAGTGTACAATTCAATCAAAATATGGACATTGGCTTAGTATAAGTGTATCTAATTATTTTGTTACAGCTAGAACACCATTTTTATTTGAATAAGTCACAGTTGCAATATTTTAGGATTATTCTGGTTTTTGAGAGGGAATTTATGGGGCACAAGGATTGTAGGGTAAGGGTCTTTGAACAAGGCACTTTAGCAGATATAAGAGAATATTTCCAAACCTGAAGCTCCATGCTCTAAACAAGAAGACATTATCACGATTGGTAGCCATTACAGTATTTTTTTTTTTTTGACAAATCTTTCAATAAATGTTATTGGTGTGAACAAACACTCTAGAAATATTGCGATAATATCTGTACGAAAAAAAAAGTGAATTTTATTTCTATTTCTAACTATTTTATTTCTAAGATTGATAAACCACCTGCGAAATAACCAATAGTTTGTGTTGGGCTGTTCTAAATGCAAACGGAGCTTGTAGATAATTGCCCTGGGGGGTGGGGGGTGGGGTGGAGGTTACTCACAATGAAGTGGTATATGTATATGTGCCACCAAAAGGGGTCCCAAATTCACCACCTCTGTTTGAAAAGGGGTATGTTATTTTACCCTGTCTGTCTGAAAAGGAGTATTCTTTTTTCATTATTTCTGTCTGAAGAGGGGTCCATATTTTCCAAAGACTGTCTCTAGAGATTGAGTGATCCAACAATCAGGAGTATGAAGCTGATTAGGCAATTTGAGTATATTTCTGTCTGATAAGGGGTAGGGTTTCAAACAATCTGATTAAAATCTGATGTAGTGTACGGGCTTTAATTATTTTGGCTATAAATTTATTTTAATTTTATTTTTTTATTACTTTTGTTATTAATGCTTTTTTATTTTATTATTTTACTTTGATTTTGATTTTGTGATTTTTTTTTCAATTCCACCCTACATACATCTGACCCGATGTAACAAGATTTCAACGAGACCCACTATCGACGATTTTAGTCAACGAATCACATACCTCCTTCTATAGCGCACATGATGACGTCACCGGGCAGAGTCAGGTGGTAAACACACTCAAATAAAATGGCAGATTATACCGACGTTAGCAACCGACAAAAACACGGCTTTTTGGTAAGTTTATCATTGTCAAATACGAAAGTCATTTTTAGTCATTTTTTTATGTTTATATTGTGGCTCGAATGGTTCGACTTTAGATCGTTATTTTCCGTAGTTATTCTGGGAGTGACGATTTTGTTTCCACCGGTTCGACCGAACACCGGTGTCTTTTTCCAGTCACTTGCCCTGGAGACGGGTGATGTTTTGCTGACGATCGGGTCAAAATCTTCTATGGTATTGAAGCCATAGCTGTAAATATTCATCAAAATGTATCAACATTTTGTACATTATACAATAACTATTTAGTAAATAATTGAGCTGATTTGGACTGGAATAAAATATTTTTTATTTGGAACACATCTCAATTGATCAGGAAAAATTTTGTTGCTCCAATTTTTGCGTCGATGTCGTGGGCCGGTGACGTTATACAATTTAAAATCAGTTTGCATTGTTTACTATAGCTGTTTACAGTGTTCTAATCATTACGATTTACTTATTTTTTTGCTTCTATTCTAGATAATTATGCTCAATGTTTGATGTGAAATTGAAGCGATGACTGAATAAATGAACCTTGGCTGGCAACGATGTATCAGGAAGTGTACACATTTGTTGGAAGTGAAAAAAATATTCAATGTAATGACAAAAATTGTAAAATGCTGTGGATTTTCTTTTGCAAATAAAAATATACTAGCAATTTTCTATTAATGGTTTATTCAAGTGGGCAAAATATAATGTACAGAAAGATTGCCCATAGAGTATCGCTACACTGAAAAGTAAGCAACCGACAGCCTGTATAAAAGGGGGTCTGTTATTGGCTGTTACTTACGCGAGATTTGAACGGGACTTACATAGACGTCGGATCAGATGTATGTAGAGCAGAATTAAAAATAATCACAAAATCAAAATCAAAGTAAAATAATAAAATAAAAGGCAGGACTCCAAGACGTACCTACACTTTATGTAATTTTTAAAAAAAATTATGCTAATTTATTCATGACGTAGCAGTTTCTCTGCTCATGAATATTCATTAATTTGTGGATCAATACATTCTAAAAAAGGCAATATATTATTTTGGGGGGAAGAGTTAGAAAGGGGGATTAGCAATCCTTAGGATTGTGTCTGTTGTTGCACGTGACCTACAGCTGTCAACTGTGTTCGTACTTTGTCGACTTCGACTGGCTTCCATGTGAGGTAGTATTCTTGTTTTTAAGTGTCCTGTCCGTGATTTGAACTTGCAATCTTTGAGTTCCCAGCGCACTGTCTTGTCCAATGTACCACAAGTGTCTTCACACGAGTGATAGGATTTAAGTCCTATTTATAGGAGCAGTGTTTTCACTAGCATTCAGAAATCATGCTAACCGTACTGGATTCGAACCAGCGATCTCTCACATTGCCTACATTGTACATATCCACTGAACCATATGGATAGTCATGCAAATGAATGATTTGTTTTCATATTTAGCTTTACTGCAAATTAGTGTTTGCGAGAAAAGACTGGCAGGCATGGGAAATTGAACCTGGGTCCTCCTGATCACTGTGTAGACAACTGAACCACAAGACCACAATGGATTGACTGGATGTGTTTGCACTATATAGTGTGTGTATATATATATATAGAAATACAACATATTTCTATTATTGAAGTACAATTGTCCACAAAATTGCCAATTTTGTGTTTTTAGTTGTGTAAACTATATGCATGCCATAACCCGTTAGTGTACATCTTGTCAATTGGGTGTTTGCCATTTGCCTGGCCCATACCTGACCCGACCCTAACCCTAATGCCAAGACAAGTTCCTGTTAATAATTGCTCAATAATGATACTCTGTTGTGCACTGTCCGCGGGTAAGTTGCATTGATGTCAACTGATTAAACAAGTCGCGTTTAAGTAATTTCCACTATAACAAGTGGTTAAATTGTGACAATAAATGTGTGGACAAACATTTGAGATTTATTTTGGTGTAGACAACTCTCGTTTAATTATTTTACACCATTACAAGTTGCTAAATTGAGAGAATAAATATCTCAACAAATATTTAATACTTAGTTTGGTGTAAACAACTCACGTTTGATTAATTCCCACAATTACAGGTTGTTAAATTGAGAGAATAAATATGCGGACAAATATTTTAGACTTATTTTGGTGTAAACAGCTCTCGTTTAATTATTTTACACCAATACAAGTTGTTAAATTGAGAGAATAAGTGTGCGGACAAATATTTTAGACTTATTTTGGTGTAAACAGCTCTCGTTTAATTATTTTACACCAATACAAGTTGTTAAATTGGGAGAATAAATGTGCAGACAAATATTTTAGACATTTTGGTGTAGACAGCTCTCGTTTGATTAATTCCCACAATTACAAGTTGTTCAATTGAGAGAATAAATGTCTGGACAAATATTTGAGACTTATTTTGATGTAGACAACTCTCATTTAATAATTTTACACCATTACAAGTTGTTAAATTGAGAGAATAAATGTGTGGACAAGTATTTAATACTTAGTTTGGTGTAAACAACTCGCGTTTGATTAATTCCCACAATTACAAGTTGTTAAATTGAGAGAATAAATGTGCAGACAAATATTTTAGACATATTTTGGTGTAGACAGCTCTCGTTTGATTAATTCCCACAATTACAAGTTGTTAAATTGAGAGAATAAATGTCTGGACATATATTTGAGACTTATTTTGATGTAGACAACTCTCATTTAATAATTTTCCACCTCTACAAGGTTGTTAAATTGAGAGAATAAATGTGTGGATAAATATTTGATACTTATTAAGGTGTAAGAACTCGTGTTTGACCAACTTCCACCATTGCAAGTTGTTAAAATAATAAAATAAATATACTGGTATTATTGGATATTTGATTTAATTGTGAAACTTTCTAACAAAATGTTAACTGCTGACTTCGAACCCTCAATCAACAATTCCGCAGACACAGTATAAATTCCACAACACCACAGAATATATTCGTCTGTTGCCTGAATTGTTTTCTTAATATAGGGAACGCCATCGACACTTTAACAAAACTTACCTTGACTTGGGTCTTGTTTATCTCTTGTCACAATCTGGAAACTGTTGAACAAATTGCGCGTCGTCTAGTTTAAGACGCAAGTTATTTTATTATTTATTCATTCAGTTTTGCATGGTGGAGTTTTGTGAGGTTTATTATTTTTTCGCGACGTTCTTTGTATACGGTTTGAGGGATTTCAGTTTATTTGATTTACGATTTTACGGTAGCTCTGAGT